GGAAGCGGCGGATGCCAGACCGGCGACTGCAGCGGCCGCCTCGAGTGCCAAAGCTCCGGCAAACCGCCGCTCACTTTGGCGGAGTTCAAACTCGGCACCAGTAACTTCGATTTCTTCGACATCTCCCTCGTCGACGGCTTCAATATTCCGATGGAATTCAGCCCGACGTCGAACGGATGCAGCAGAGGCATCACCTGAGGGCGGCCGGCGGCGGCGGCTGCAACAATCCCTGCGCCGTGTTCAAGACGCCGGAATATTGCTGCACTGGGACCCACAGTTCTCCAACAAAATGTGGGCCCACCGATTATTCCAAGTTTTTCAAAGAGAGGTGCCCTGACGTGTACACTTACCCATATGATGATAAAACTAGCACATTCACGTGTCCTGGTGGAACTAATTACGACATCGTTTTCTGCCACTAGGAATATGATTTTAAATGTTTACGTTGGTGAAATATTGATTAAAATGGATATTATTGTAAAAGTTAGAGAAACTAAATGATAAACATTTTTCTGTTTCTAAATGATTTAAAAATAAATAAAATTAATATTATGTATATATTAGTAAATTTTTGTGATATTTTTCGTATCTTTTTTATGAAAATATTGATTTATCTCTCGGATTGACGTCGAATTCATGGATACATGAAAATATTGACATGTCTGATAGATATTTAATAACATGATACAAACTATATTTCTAAAAAAAAACATGATACAAACTACCCAACTTTTCTTTATTTGATTGCTCTCAACTTTGCTAGGTTTGTTTAATTACTACCCTTTGGTTAGTGTAGTTTTTTACTTTTATTAATTTAGTCCTTTATTTTGGTCCGTCTATCATTTTAATCCAAAGTAGTTGAATAAGAAGAGTTTGAGTGTCCTTGACTTAGGAAATACCAGCACAAGAGAGACAAATACTATGACACTCAAGTTAGTTTAAGTTCGACTTGGATATTGAAACTGAACTAGAATGCGACGATATTTTATGTGGAAGCGAGACTCTCTTTTTATAGGTTGGGGATCCACATGTTATCTATGTCGCTTTGAAAGTCGGGTTGTTCAGGCGCTTGAGGTCGAGAGTCAGTTTGACCTTGGTCGTATGGAGATATTCCAGTTGACTTTGCGGCTAAGTACGAAGGTCAAACTCTCCCTTAACTGGCTTCAAGTAAGACTTGGTCTTCTAACCTTCCTCCGTTCTTACGTGGCAAGGTTATTTTTCTGCCCCAACACCTAAAATTTTAAAAAGTGAGTTTGGTTTGTTTTTATTTTTATCTCGTTTCTTTATCAAAAATTTCTTGTAATGTAACCAAACTTTTGTATTAAAGAGTTTCCATTTGTTTATGCAAGGATATGCACAACAGTGTATTTCTGATCGCAGCTCGAACTCGGTCTCCGGACCGATCTGAACACTTAGGCGGACCTGCACAAAAAGGTGAGCACTCCGATGATCAAGTCAGTATAGGTCGGATTCCCAGTTTAGTTCGAGGTCAAAAATCATCGTACCTGATCGTGGAGTGAGGTCCTCTACTTATGGGTGGTAGTCCCGTTAATCTCGCGACGGTTACACCCGGTGATCTCGGGACCGCCGGTTACACCCGGTAATCTCGGAACCGACGGTTACACCCGATAATCACGCCGCTGACAGTTGCTCACATCGGCCCCCACCGAGCTTCCCGGTAGATCGGACCTTGGCCAGATCGCACCTCGACCCTCATACTTAGCACCTGTCAACGCTAGTGGTGGTAATCTCGGCGGTTCGAGCTGGGCATGACTCTTGAGTCATCTTGAAACACCAATAGCTGTCCTCCACGTGTCCAGGGTATTCTCTCCCCCAAACACCATTGTTTACAGAACTTGTAATGTAGTCAATATACAAAATTTTGTAAGGATTAAATGGGTCACTTTTTAAAATATAGTGACTAATGATCCATTGTAACCAAAACCAAAAGTTCATGGACCAAAATAAAATAGTATTTTAACTTTACTTGTAATATGTAATTTAGTATTTGGTAAATTTCAATTTTAAACCTGAAATTGCAGGTTACAGAGTTTGGTAAATTAATACTAAATTGTTGTGATTTAGCCTAATATATAATTAGGAAATTATACTAAATGTCATAAATAAAGATAAAAAAAATACACTTTTGGTCGGAGTAAGTATCCACTTTTAGTTTCTAAAGTTTAGAGTAGCTATCTATTTGATCTTTGAAATTTTAAAATAAACACTTTCAATTCTTAAAGTTTGAAAATTTGTTCTAAATGGTTCCTGAATATTCTTTGACCATTAGTTGACTTTATGAAAAAATGACGTGACAATTAATAGGTGATTGAGCATTTCTAACTTGCTTTTTATTAAATGAGCGGTAAAAAAATATTAATTTTTACATGTGACGGGGCTTTTTTTTTTTTGCTCTTTTTCTTCTTCTTTTGCTCTCTTCATCTTCTTACTGCCGTCTACTACTGTACACTGTCGTTGCCTATTGTCTCCGCCAATTGGCATGCTGCCGTCTACCGTCGTCGCTGATGCTGCACATTGGTTCTAAACACCGATAGCCATCACTGGAGAAGAACGGGAGGAAGAGAGAGGAAGAGAAGGAAAGAGAAAAAAAAATTGCACATAGGATAAAAATAATATAAAATTATTTAATATTGCCATCACCATTGAAAATTCTACAATTTATTATTTTTTGTAAAAAGCCCCTGTTTTCCATTTATAACTCTTAATTGTCAAATATTTAATGGTAGCGAGAACAATATTGCTTCTTACTGTTGATGAGCTATTTTTGTAAAAAATCTATGTTTTTACATTTCTAACTCTTAATTGTCAAACATTTAATAGTGGTGAGAACAAAGTTGCTTCTTAATGTTAAGGAGTCAAGTATTGTTCTCTCAACTTTAAATTGTGAATTCCATCGTTCTTGCATGGGAGCGAAAGTAGTTAAAGTATCTAATAAATTTCTAAAATCTCGTTTATACTCATTTCATTTTGAAAAATTACAATAAGCAGTAAAATTCTTTTATTTATTTCAAAATATATCACCTGTTTTTTAAATTTTTAAATATAACACAAATTTTTTACTTATATCAATAGTTTATCATATACTCATATTAGTATTATATCAGTAGTATATCAGACACTCATATCAATAGTATATCAAATGTATATCACATACATATTGCAAATATATCAAACACTCATATCAGATGTATACATATACATATATCAAATATATTACAAATATATTACAAATGTATGTCATTTGGATAAATTTGTCATTTTAAAATTGGACCTTCATTCTTTTTAAGTGCTATATTTGAAAAAATTAAATGTGGTTGAAATGTGGTTGTTATTTTGCTAATTTTACTAAATATTTTTGTCATATTTGCAGCTGTCATTCTCGTTTTTATTTTTTGTTTTAAAAATTATGTTTGATTTCTACCATTGTTTTGGTATGTTTCTACATTGCACATTTGAATTCTTAGCAAAAATTTTAAAACAAAAATAAAATTTTGAGATCTTTTTCTTTACCATAAAATTATATATGAATATATTTATTTTAATTTTATTTATTATAATTCTTTATGAATTATCTATACTCGAACAACTTTTTAAAGTTTGTTTAGTGTAACTTTTTAACGTATAAATTAACATGGATCTTAATTCAATGTTAAAAGTATATAAATAAATGTTTAAAATATTAGTATTTACTTTTTTTGTTACACTGTATTTTGAATGAGTGACTATAATAATGCAAACCAATCCAATCCAAATAGTTCAGAGCGAAGTTGAGTTCATCATTTAATAGAGATTATTTGGGTTAAATTCATTTACATCCCGAACAATTAAGTTAGCCGGTAAAGTACTTCAATCCAACCTAATTCTCCAAAAACCTCAAAAAGTCCGATCTATGACTTGTGCATTGATTGGGTTGAATGGTCTATGGGCTTAAGATTTAAAAGGATGGACCAATTCAACTTAGGCCCAAACAATTAATATAAAATATAATTATCGAAATGTCCTCAATACTCAATTATGTTTTTAAAGTGAAAATGAAAAGTAGTCAATAAGTTCGATTTAGGTTCCAAAGCGAGCATAACTCAACGGTATCTTCCACATGTTGTACTAAAAAAAAATCAATTTAGGTCTGTCTCATTCAATTCAATTTTAGTTGGATTTCTTACTTTTTTTTTTTCCTACCCATGTCAGTTCGACAACAATTTTCATAAAAGAAAACTCGAGTCATTTTGAGAATAAACCAGCCCTATCACGACACTATCACCACTTCCACCATATTCATACAAGTTCTTAAACATTCTTCTTTGTTGCAACCAATCACGTTTCATTACATTTTTCAATGTAATTGTAACATAACTCAACTAGTCAAGATATATATCTCCAATTAAAAAGTCATGAATCTGAACCTGAATCTTCAGGTTCCGTTATTGTTGTGATGATGAAATACCCTAATGATGTGGTGGAAAGTAAAGAATGTAACGCAAAGGCTGCACAAAATTCACATTTCTTTGTATGACTAGTGTTTTAACACCAAAAACAAACTTTTATCATTACACAAAATGAAAGTAAATTTCATGTTATCATTACACAAGGGATGCAATATGAAGCTTATAGTTACGGATGGGTTTAACTTTCTTTCCCCTTCTATGACTGTACTATCAGGCCAAAGATGAAGAAAATGAAAACCTAACTATGATGCTGAGTGAAGATTATAGACTGGTGATTTGTTTGTGGAACCAACCAAGTTTAGCTTTGCAGCTTCTTTCGGTTTCGACGTCTTTTGTTGATAAATTATCTCTGTTTGGATCTTGAAGATAGGTCTGGTTTTCATAGAGGCATGAAACTCTCACAAAAATGAAGCTCAATCCATGCATTCAAGTGACTTGCTTTGCCTACTGTTTATCTTTTTCTGAAAGGCTTTTTACTTCTCCATGATCTGAACGTGATAGCCATCGGGAAACTGTAAACCGGGAGTTCGGACGATATTGCCTCCTTTGATTGCTTTGAACCTGACAGCCACAAAATATACCAACATTAGTTCTCTGTCAGGAGCAGAGCAAATGAGTTGTCTCTAGTTTTTGTTTAGGTATAAAAAGTTGGAATATGTTTTTCTTTTGGTTGTCTGAGAGCGGAGCAATTTTGTTCCCTTTCATTTCATCAATGAAAAGTTCGTATTTTGTTAAAAAAAATATATATGTATAATAAAACGTTAGAATATAAAATTTTGCTAGGACTGTCTCAAGCTCTCTCTTGCAACTTACCTGTACTTTGTAACCAGGCAATGGAGAAACACAGCCATCTGCACTTTGGTAAAATCTGTACCAACACAGAATCTCATGCCTCCACCAAAAGCCATGAAATGTTTAGATGCTCCATTCAGTTCAGATTTCTGCCACAAGAGTTCCAAACGTTGTGATCCAAACAAATCAAAAGTGTACTTCAAACTCTCACAAAACTGACCAGCTCGCAGACAACCAACAAAAAGAGGGATTAAAGATATATTCATACCTCCCATCGCCATGGGTTAAATTCAAGGGGGTCAGTGTACTTTTGCGGATTTAAGTGCACGGCCGGAGGGCAGACCATAACAGCCCACCCTGCTGGAATGGTATATCCTGCTCCAAGTGCAAATCTTTTAGTTAGCATCAGAGATGATCTTTTGAAAAAATCTAACAGCTAAAAAACTACTGCATACCCTTAAACTGGATATCTCTCAGAGCTTTTCGAAAGATTCCTGGAACTATATTTGCCAGTCTCACAGTTTCATTGATGAACTGCAAATTGTAAGAAGTTTGTAAATGTGAAACATAGAGCATAAAGGAAAGAAAGAGTGATTATTTGAATAATTCAAGTAACCTGAAATGTGAATGTCATGGATTTGTATTCTGCCCACGTAAGCCCAGAATCTGCAGTTTCCCTTCCCTTCAAAATTCCATCATGCTCTGCCTGATAAAGATGCAAATACTCATCAGAGAAGGAAGGATTTTAACGAGGTTGTGGAAACTAAGGAAATAGCTTTTACTATGCAAATAGAAGCAAAGAATAGAAGTAAAGGGAACATTGAACCAACCGTCAACTCCTCCAGCACATGAGGGTTGTTAAGGAGAAATTTAATGGCTGCAGTTATAGCAAGGGAAGTAGTTTCGAAGCTTGCAAAAAGTAGCACAAACATAAGGTCCAAAGCAATTTCCTCGGTGAGAAGAGTTCCATCTTTCTCCAGTTCTTCGAGGACGAAATCGAAAAAATCTATTTGTTGTTTCCTTGGATTTGCCCGCCTTTCTTGTAACATGTTTTTCAGCATCCTCATCGCTCTTTTCCTGCCCTGTTAACATACTTCCAAGTGAAGATCAGATTTACAAGAGATTAATTTGAAAACAAATCATTCTCTGTTGTAACCTGTGAAAGTTTTGTGTTGTTAGGAGGCTCAAAGGAGAAAAATTGAAGTCTTATGATGGGCTTTCAGTTAAATATCCCAAATATTAGGCAAACTATTTCAAATATTTGATTACAATTGTGCTTTAAAAATTAAGCTTCTACACTAATAATTTCTCATTTTGAAAAGGTGGTTAAAATTTTAGCCAACTTTCCAAAAAAAATAAAGTAATTTTTAAAATCTATATTTTGTATGCATAATTTGGAAATATTTCATAATTTTATTAAAAATAAATATAAGCCAAAAAGTTTATTGGAAAACAATTTGACTCTTTAACTTTAAGAAGAGAAATGGAATCAAAATTGCTTTTGAAAGAGTCTAAAAAAAACTCCAAAGTTCATCTTGCAGTTTTAATTTAAATTTTTAGCTATTGGAGCTAATCCAAAAATAATTAAGGAAATTTTAGGCCTCCAATCCCTATGGCGTAAGCGAACACAGAGGAAGTGCATATCATTAGAATTACTGTACCATATTTGAATTACCTGTAAGCATTTGTGATAAGCGGTTCCAGGAACATCTAGAGGGAAGGAGATCAACCCCTGTATAAATGCAACAAAATTCTCCCTCAAATTCTCCGAAGAATTTTCTGAATCATAACTAATCAGCTTCTTTGCAGTCAAATCAAAAATCATCTGCATAGATGCGAAAAATCAGTATCAGACATGAACAACAAACAGTTTTCCTGAATGTGTCAGTGATAACAAGAATGTCTTAGTAGGAAATTACACTTGCAGTCTCATCCTTCAATTCAACTGAGTTATGAGATGACCATTGTCTCAATCTTCTGGTTGCTACAGCCTCAACCTCAGGAACCATCTTTCTCAGAGTTTCAGATCCAAAAAGATGAAGAACCATGTTCTTAAGATATTTATACATGAAACCGTGCAATGAACCAACATTTTGTCTTCCAAATATCTCTGTGAAGGTATCTGGATACCAGCTCTGGAACAATTGTCCCTCTTGTTGGAAGATAAAGTAATTCAAGTCGGGGTCTGTTGAGACAATCAACGACCTTCCCACCAAACTAGTTCTGAATATCGGTCCATACCTGAAACAATAAAGCACTTTCCATCACAAACTTGAGGAGAAAGAAGAAGGAATAGAAGGAATATAACAAACATTACTTTTAGTACCTATCCATTCTCCTTCTGATGAAAGGAGGAATATCAGAGGAGGTATTGGGAGCAAAGAACTGCAAGGTTTCACCAAGTAGAGGGAAACCCATTGAACCTGGTGGAAGTTTTCCATTACATTTGGGATTTCTCCAGCTATAAAGCCAGTGTGTAAAACTTAAAACAACAATAGCTCCAACCAAAAGAAGCCACATTTTGGTTATAAATAGAAATAGAGAACTTCAAAAGAAGGAATATATATATGATTGAAGCAAACAGAAATGGAAAATATTGTCAGAATGAGAAGAGGGTGAGTAGTGCTTAGATGTGGGGAAGGGAATAATCAGAAAGCAGAAGAAAGTGCTGGCATGTATCTCCCTTTGAGTAACATCTGAGTGAGATCTTATATAGACTCATTGGAACATTACAACTAGTTAAGATAGTAATTAAAATCTTGTCCTCTTCCTTCTCTCTCTTTCTCTCTCTCTCTCTCTGGACCTATTTTTTAATAGAGAATTCAATTCTAAAATATGCTTTACAGGTAGTTAGAGATTGAATAAAATACGTCTTTAGTGTTCTGTCTAAAGACCACAACTCCATATCATTTGTCAACCCCATATTTTAGATCTCGTGTGAAACTTACAGGATGCTTCCTCCACTCCCATCTCACCCTGTGTAAGATAATGGCTCATCTTAAGACTCCATTTTCAAACGAAAATGAAGAAACACGAGGCAGAATAATAGCTTATTTTAAGGAGGTTTTGCGTAAACAGAAGGGTATTCCTTCACATTTCTATATACATATATATTTTTTCTTGAGGGGGTTTGTTCTTCTGTAGTGTTCCAGAGGATCTTTATCACTAAATCACCAATGGAAAACCAATCTTCCAATAGATCACTGAAGGCTAAAAGGAACATAAGATTTTTCTTCCCAACAGCTTTTCACACCAAACACACAAAATATTCCTCAATATCTATGTTAAATACCAGAGTATCTAGACCTGCAGGATTTGATTACCATAAAGAAAGCCAACATGGGGCTCTTTATTCAATTTTTTTCAATTTTTTTCAATTTCTGTTGTTTTAGCTGTAACCACCACCCAATATTCCCGAAATCATACTCAATCTTGTTGCTTACATCAAATGGGGATATGGATGAAGAGCAGAATGTGAATAGTAAATTATTAATGGATAATGCACGCCAAGTGTTCGTAAAAATGTAGTTTCCAATTTGCATAGGATAAGGTAGGTAAAAGGTAGAGAAACTGATTAAACCCACCTTCTTCCAGACATGGAGCTCCGTCCCGGAAATCCATTGAGCCACAAACTCCAACTCCATTATCTATGCTACCAAGTTAGATCGATAGGTCACTGTGCAGCTTGCGCACAAAATTATTGAGAGTTTTAGCCCTCGCGCTCCGATAATGTGCCTCAGAAAATGGGGTGAGCGGAAGAATTGCCCCCAACGGTTGCCCAAAATTTTGAATTTTTTTTTTTGTTTTTTTTCTTTTAAGCCTCGCATGGGATGGAAGATTGATATGACAAATTAACCCCTGAACACTTAACTATGGTCATATTGACAAGCATGGTTCTAAATATACGTGGACACGTCTACATTTCTATTGACATATCCATATTTTTACGAGTTCAACGAATAAATCGACATTACATTTTTATTATAGTACAAGAAAATCAACAAAATATGAAAAATATCAACAAAATGTCATGATATATACATAATATTAATATTAATTATTTTTAACTAATTTAGAATTAGGAAAATGTGTATTTGTTAATTTAAATATTTTTTTTACAATTTTTTAATTTTTCTAATTTTTATAGAAATATTTATTTTTATCGATATTTTCATTAAATTAAGATATCGACATTTCAATTGACATCAACATTAAAGCTTTGACAAGTAACAATTTGTTCATAGAAAGAGTATGTAATAGATTTATATACTTTTGTTATTATTATTATTTTTTACTTAGTTAACAATATATAGAGGTAAGAATTCAGAACTTCCCACCTTTTGTTCCAGATGGTATATCCAAATTAGTTGAGAACATTCAACTTAAGGAAAGTAATTGGTGTATTACCTACTCCGACTGGCTTGGATTTTAAAAAAATATCTTACAAGTCAAGAATTTATTAGATACAAAGTTTAGAAGTCTACTAAATATAAAATTGAAAGGTAACTCAATTAGTTTACCATACTTTTAGAATCAAGAAAGTTCAATAAATGATTTTAAATTATTTATGTGAATTATTTGAAATGAATATAATTAAATTTATTTGTTTGGATGTGGATCGAGAAAAAAATAATAAAATAAAAACTGTACTAATATTGCCTTTTTAATCTTAATTTATTAATTAACAATTAAAATATGACAAGGGCAATAAAAATTTACTTATTTCTATGAAATTCTGAGAAATCCTATCGTTTTTGTCCAAAAATTTTGTTACTGTGAAAATAGAAATTCTCTTTCCCGTGATAACAAAGTTCGTTTGAAATCTGTCCAAATTTGAGATTTTTCAAAATCCTGAAGCATACTATTACATGAATTGTACAGGTGCTAATGATTAGATCATATTTGTCTCATCGCAGGTTGAGTGAGTTTAATTATCTTAGCAATTTAAAATTTATTATATCTATGTGTCTTATAAAAATTTTTTATTAACCAAAATTTATTTATATAACTAACTTTACATCGTGTCGCTAAAGAGAGCATAGCTCAGCGGTGATTATTATTATTTTTCATTTTGTGATTTAACAATTGTAGGATGGGACTTTTAGAATGATAACTAAACTTTCTAGATGTACCTAACCATTAAAGTGTGTTGATGCTGGGATTCTGGTATACCGGTTCTCTCCGCTCCACGCACCAACTCGAATACTTCAGGACCGAATACCTGTAAAACCGAACAAAAACCCTAACCCGGTGTGACTTTAGTCACACTGGCTCCGATGCTTAAGTTAGCAAAAAGAGAGATCACTTAAACAAGTTACAGCCTTAAAAGTGTAATCTTGGCTTAACTTGGAGAGGTGATCCCCTCCCTATTTATAGTTGAATGACCCTCTAGGATTTCGTAGTCGATCATCCTAGGTTTTAGATTCTGCAGGTCCACACACAGAGAAAACAATAGTTCTAGGTCTGGCCGACCATTGAAAGACAGAGGGTGGGATCCGGCTTTGGGCCGAGCCCTACTCGGCTCGACCCATCACTCATGGATCGGCCCGCACGGTTCGCCTATACCATTATCTTTTACCCATAACAAAGTGGAAGATTCAAATTTGTAATTTAATGAAACGATTATGAAGGAATAAAAATTCTACCCATGTAGGTAGGTTTTTTTACGCATGACCAATTAATAATAAAGATAGTGACATAATTAATTAATTGTTTAATAACAACTAATTAATATTTCTTATTTTAGTTAACTATTAATATTGATATCACATTGTCTAAAAATAAGTAATATTGATATCATTTTGTGACGTGGACATCTTTTTTTTCTCTTTTGAAACACTATTTTGAGATATAATATTATCAATTGAGTCTTATGAAACAAAATATTTTTCATGGTCACTATTTTACTTTTAATTTTTAATTTTTAAAAATTATGTTTGTCGGCCTATCATTTTTTTTTTATATATTTTAACTTTTTTAAAAAAATACATCTGCATTCTTTGTCAAATTCTAAAAAAAAAAAACTACTTTCTAAAAAATATATTTTTTTAATTTTCAAAATATGAAAATGTTTAAAAAATTAAGGAGCAAAATAAAGAAATACATTACATTAATAAAGTAGTATATCCCGCTTAATTTTTAGAAACAGAAAATTAAAAGCAAAAATGATTTTAAAACCGAGCCTAAATTCATAAAAACTATATGTGGCATAATTTTTATCTTTACTTTGTTTTTCACTGGTTGAAAAGTAGCATTTTAAACTTTTTTTTTTCTAGCTACACTTTCAAAAACATTTCTAAAAGTATACTAGAAAAATATACATAGTAATGAGTATACTTTTTAAGATGAAAATAATAGAGATATTATCAAATTCATCTCGCATTAAATAAAAACAAAATATATACAAAGTATTGCGAAAAATCTTGGATATAGAAGAAAGAACAATTTTTTTCACTAAATAAAGTCGTCCAAGTAAAATATATGTACTAAAAAAAATGTTTTGGTCTTTATATATATATTTTTGTTTTGTTTTGGTTTATTTTTGTCCTTATACTTTATAAAGGTGCATTTTTGTTTTTATATTTTCAACTTCTGTTCATTTTAATATTTGTACTTTCAAGACGTCTGTTCAATCCCTGTATTTTTAAAAGGTGACCATATTGATCCATATTTATAAATTTTTATACACAATTGAAACTCTAACAAATTTATTGCTACATTTTAAGAAATTTAGTAAGTGAAGTGTCATGCTAAAATTTTAAGATAAAAATGAAAATGAATGATCAAAATATTCATTCTTTTATAAAGTATAGGAACCAAAACTAACTTTTGAAGGTAAATAGACTAAAATAAACAAAAGTTGAAAATATAGAGACCAAAATAAACCAAAATTGAAAGCACCTAGACCAAAAATAAAACCCGAAAAGTAAAACTAGGTGAAATTAGACTCAAAATAAATAAATATTTATCGGTTGCTAATAGCTGAACCAATAATATCACTAGTGACTCGCCAAAACGAACACATCTCAACGATAATTGTCATATATCTTAATTAAATCAAGAGGTTGTGAGTTCGATATCTCATCCCACATGTTGTACTTAAAAAAAGTATCACTCAGTCCGTCAATTGCATGCTTGAGTGACAATTGACGCGTTAACTAATTAATAATTCATACTCCAATTGAGTTTCAGTGTAAATTTTAGTTTCCAAATTCATCATGAATTTGATAGAAATTTAAATTTTAGAAATCTAACATTCTTTAAAACAGATTTTGAAATCACACCTAAATTTTAAAATGGGAAACATATTTCGAAACGACTTTTCTATTTTTTAAAATTGAATTGCGTTTTAAAATATATTAAAAAAATAGACCATAGATATGACAAGAAAAAAAAAAGAAGAAAAAGGTTGAAACATGGTTTTTTTAGAAAACCAAAAAGAAAATCATTACTACAACATTTGTTAAGGATTTTATTTTAAATTTTCCGTCTCGTTTGATCACAAATCTGATCGTCTCGTGCAGTTCGGATAGAAAATGCTGATCGCTATTTAATGTCAGTTATTGATTTGGATACAATGTCAGTTGCAAAACGACATCAAATATCCTCAAAAAAATACAAGTGCACGTGTGCAGGTTGATAAAAGCAACGTCGTTTCACAAGCATACAAAATGACGTCGTCGTTTGCTTGTGGATACGATGTCAATTGTAAAATGATATTGAATGTGGAAAAAGA